AAAAAACATTTTTTCTAACCATTTGCTAAGATTTCCAGTATTGAAAAATGTGTTAAAAAGTCCATAAAATACAACCTGTACAAACAGTGTTAGTTTAGTAAATATATTGACCAGTGTTCAAATACGTGTAGTTTAAAATTCATAATCAAGATCTTCAAGTGATTTTTAAAATAGTTTCAGACCTCAAGTTCAAAGTTTTTGACCAAAATCTTTTTAAATCTAAATCATGGATTGAAACAGTTTCATAATTAAAATCAAATCACGTTTGAAGAGCCTGTCGCACAGCCCTATCCGACAACAAAGGGTTTACCCTTCGTTAAGAATTTACCTAAGTTTGAGATACAAGCATTCATGTATAATTTCAGCCTTAACTGAACTCTTATCACATAACAAGCCTACATAAGCTCTGCCAGCACCTTCTGACTTCAAGCCCATAGCTCTAGAATGTTAAGATTAAAAGTACTTAATATTCTATCAAAGATAAAAAGTCTCGAGAAAGTCTAAACTTTTTGTACTAAAGGGTAATACTTACTAATGGTGTGAAACTGTGAAATTTCATGTAAAAAAAAAGCCATATGGATAAGTATGTGAACTATGGTATCATTTGTTAATAATGAGATCAGAATCAAGGTGAATGAGAATGATGGGGTGATTGAGTATTATTAATTATACAACAAATTCAAGAGTAATCAGTTATTATTATTTATTCTACTAGTAGTTTGATAAATACATTTATTTTATGTTGTATTTGTTCTAGTTGTAGTTTGATGTATATTTAAGTCATAATAAAGGATTTTGCACATTAATTTAGTACTTTGTCTTTTTTTGACCTGGGGCTAGAGCTGTTGTGAAGAACTACTTTACAGCCTTCTCTTTACATTGTCATTACATCAGAGATAAATCAAGTTAAAAATCACAAACATAAGTACATAATAGTTTCATTAAAACATCCCCAACATAGACTTTTGAAAAATATAGCACATTTTTTGTATTACTTTTTGACTTGATCATGTTTACTAACAAATAATAATGTTATCTTGTACATTTGTAAATAATTTTTATAAAATTTGTAAAAATTAAGCTTTACCATCTTAATCATAACAGTTTTTGTTCATGCAATTTGATGATATAAATAGCATCTCAACCATTACCACGCCTGTTATATCCCAGTCAGCCTAATGAACCCTGGTATTGGGTGAAAGACCCTGTACACACAGGATACAGCAGACATATTGTTACACATTCTTCTCTACTTTCACCTCATAAGTGAATAAGAAACAGCACATAAGTACCTCAGAGCATCCAAATGGAATGTTCCCTACATAGAGTCGGCGAGCTTGCCTTGTGATGGTGCTCCCTACAACGGGCACTGGTGCCATCCCTGGTGCTGCTACAAGAGTTGCTGGAATCTGTCCTGCAGCTGATAAAAACAAAACAATAAAATATCAAGTAGGTATGTGGAGTATTCTTCATATATACACACTTGACCCTTATGCTACGGACAGGTCAAAGTGTGCATGTTACCTTTTTAGAGTTACATTCAAAATTTAATTAATCTACTTTATCATTGATTACAAATAAACTTAGCATCAAAATGTAATTAATAAATCTAGTTTTAATATTATATAAGTTTTAAGTTCTTAATTTTATAAGGAAATATTTAAAAAAATCTTCCCCTAGTATGAGAATTGACATTTAATCTACAATTCTTCTCTCTTCTCTAGTTTATTTATCCCCCTCTGAGAAGTATGGAATTTAACAGTAAATTAAACATTATAATTTGTTTGTTTTG